ACACAGTCAGTGTTACAGGACGCCACAAGACTAACGTATACTACAGGAGCTGACAAGTATCACCTGATATTGATGCTGGTTGATATGCCAGTTCCATCTTCCAAGCCTTTCTCTAACACGGCTGACACTGAATACTATTATTATTGGTGTTAATTTATTACTGTCTAACTGATTATGTAGTCCACACCAGCTGAGTCAGTTTGATTTTTCTGTTTCAAACAAAAATTTTGATCCAGTCATACTTCAATGAGGCTGTATTCTCAGTCACAACAAAAGATGAACAGAATTTGTTTGCTGTATTTTTCTACATTTCCATCACAGTATTTTGTATGAACAAACGTTCATATTTTGAAACCCATCTGTGGCAACATGTTATTGAAACAAAATAATCATGGGTTTACAGAACACAGATTCTACCAGATTAAAGTAGATGTCAGCATTCAAGTGACTGACATTCCTTCCACTTTGTAGTATTTTGTACCCAGTATGTTTCTTGAAGACTCCCCTAAACATTTGACTGTATTCAGCTGTGCTACAATGCACTTAAGATCATTTAACTCATCGGAAATTCTATTCATTCCTCACGGCTTCTGCGCTCATATGCACTTCATTATATCCTATAGCTCAGCTTATAGGCCTGCAAATTTTGCAGTGTTAGCTGCCCGCCCCTGTTTAGTATGTATTCACTCCACCAAGGGTTTAGGTAACATAAAAGCATTCACCAAATGGAGCATATGCTAAGTCTATATACTCAGAAGCTCCCTGCTGTGTCCTGTTGAACCAGAGCTTTCTAGGGGGAGGGTGTGAGACAGGCTAACTCAAAACCCATGGTCTGGCTTATATATTGTGGTCTTTGCAGGGCAGACAGCCCTTTAGCTTCCTTCACTGCCCCGTAGCTGCTTGTGACGTCAAGCAGCGCGTGTTCTGCTCTACCAAGGACATCTGTCTGTAAGCGTCTGGAGGGCCGCAAGCAGCCCCTCAGGCCAGGAGTGGGGGAGTGCAGAGAAAAGCCTTTGTTAAAAACAGCAGAGATGGAAAAAGGCAGGTTGGCCATCATGGCTCCTGCAGCTCATCCTCCTCTTCACTCCGAGCGCACCAGACCGCTCGAAGGTTCTTGCTGTATTTTGGACATTTTTGCATCATAAGGAAACATACTACTCTTTCTTCTGTGATGAGAAAAAGTCCCGTTATATATTATTTAGGTCATGACTGACACCTTTACAAATCTATTAATGGTACAGAGCTCAGTTTTTACCAAATAAATACAGATGTGGGAAACATGGACTGAAGAAGAAAAACAACAGAAGGACAGCCACAATGATTTGATTATTTTCAGTTGTGCATAATCAGACTAATTCTCCAATTTTCTCTTTTAAATTAATAAAACCTGAGGAATCTAAAATGTGTACCAGCTCTTGCTTTTGCTCTTTCTCACAGGCAAATTGTTGCGAAACGGGCTGTGATGGTAATTAACATGTAAACAAATAGCGATTAGTTAAAATCTCATTTTGTGAAATTGAAATATTTGAAATGATTTATTTGAACTCAGCACACATAATTTACATTCCAAAATACAAAGAAACAAGCGTACCACTAATGTTTAGCTTTCATTTCACCTTTTGTTTGGTAGCACCGGCTGCACTGATTCAGCTGCTGTGTGTTAAAGTTGTGAACCAGCCGTCGACACTGCTGATAAATATTAACTTCCTCTGCCCTCAAACAAGAGGTCTCAGTTTTATTTAAATACGATTTTGGAGGAATCTTCCAGGACATAACTCCGTGACACCAGTAATCTGAGGAACACTTGTAATTTAATATCCAGGGTCTGGATTTTCCAACCAAATTTAAATCAGATTCATTGCTAGAAAACAGACTTGTTTTGGGAGTGGGCGTTGGGTAATTTCATGTTACCCACCATATACATCCACCTCCAATTTTTTTATTACCACAAAACATTGGTGGAAGTGCTAATACACAATTTTCAGGGTACTCAACATCTACAAGAGAGCATTGTGCAACAGCAACAGGCATTTTGTATGAAATGTACATGTATGTAATTGTATTCACGATTCCTCCACACTGACCATAGCATTGTCAGCTAACGTTGTGCTGTATGCACATGGATTAAATCCTCTTTCTAGCAAAGCTATGGATTGATTCTGCGGGGTATCTGACAAATGTTCTACATCTCTTGACCTTTGCTAATAATTTGACTTTACAAGTCCCAGTTCCCTGCTTCCAAAGGGCACACAGGCAGACTGGAATCACTGGTATTTAAGTGACTTTGGAACGGCAGATATTTATGTGGTACCATTGATCGGACCTGGCAAATGTATGCATCCTGCCAGCTGCTTGTTCTTCCAGTCTGTGCAGAATTTCAGCAGTGACCTTTGCGATTTTTGGCAGTGATTGCACCTATTGCATACCATTGCTGACAGGCTACTCTGGAAGGTACAGAGAGATTATTGGATGTCAGAGTTTTGCATTACGTTTGCTTGTTGCTTGTCCACAAGATTAAAAAAAAAAATGTCAAGAAGGTGCCCTGGTGAAAGTGGCTGCAAAATATTTTATTGTAAGTCCTGTAGAGACAAACAGTATCAATAAAGATGCACACTAATACAGACTAATGGTGGCCAGAGAACAGCACCAACACCTCATGATTACATCTCAACATAGCTTGTACAGTTCAGTAGCTACTCCTACTAATTTATAGCATTTGTACACCTGTGCCTCGATGAACGAATTAAAATGGTAGTCGGGGAAAAAAAAACAAACTCGTAAGGTAAAGCGAATCAATCGAAGCCTGGCTCTGGCTTGTGTCAGTTGGCAGTCATCAAAGGAAGGTAGGCTCGGCATAGTGGCACCAGATTGAAATCAGAAATCAGTCTCCCAGCGTCATGGCGGCCACTTCACTGACAGGAAACGCAGACTGGAGGGTTGCAGATGGTAAAATGAAGTCTACATTTATCATACAGTCATAAATCTGAAAATGCAGGCAGTTGCTGTGGGCGCTGGGAGCCCATGCCTGGTGCCAACTGCCAGCCAGAGATGCCGGCATCCTGGTGCCATCAGTGAGATAGCGGACCTCTCTCTCTCTCTCTCTCTCTCTTTCAGTCTTCCCTCCCTCTCCCGCTCTGCCTCAGCTCACTTTGCAGCGGGATTCTTTAAGGTCAGGCCCGGAGAGATTTGTGTGTCATTTATGGCAAAGCCTAATAAGGTTACCATTGATAACATTATTGCTACGTTTTCCATGCGGACAGGAGCAATAATCGTCTCCACACTGTTGGCCACATTCAGCTGTGATCTCCAGTTTGTGACTCCATTATAACCTCTGTATAGATTCACATTACACACTTGTCCATATTATTGCTATTAGTTCATATTTACTTTAACTGCAGTATCCCTATTTCCACCACCATCTGTTGTAAAACGGATACATAGATGTAGTTTGTGTATTCAGCTGGTTGGTACCACTGCTATTATTTCCCCTACTTTGTGTTGTCAGCGCGTTTGAATCTTTCAACAGTTCCGCCGTGCTAAATGTGAAGTGGCAACACCCTAAAGGGCATGCCTTGCCAGCGGGGTTTTAGAAAAAAAAAATCAGAGGCAACTGCATGCACATTTTAGATCAGAGTTTGTACACCAAAGCAACCTTTTACAGAGCGCCATCTGAAAGTAACATGAAATTTTCCCCTGATCAGACAACATACATGCCTCACACAAACACCAGCGCCCAGTGAACACATGCTGAGAGATAACATAAAAGAACATGAAAAACATCAAGGCGCACATTGATTGTCTCTGTTCGCTTCAACCCAGACCTCTCTCCCCCAGCGGGCAGGCACGCAGGCAAGCTGGTGGGTAGGCATTCCCTGTGCTGTGGCCAAGATTGATAGGCACGTGTGTGTGTACACTGTGTTTGCATGTTGGAGGGAGTGCTGACACCCTCTGTGCCATGGCCCCAGGCCCTCACACCTCCGCCCAATAGAAAGGGCAGCTCCCAGCGACGCTGGGTTCCCCCTCAGCCCTGCAGCTAGACATGACATTACCTTGGGCAGTGCCTCCCCACAACCCCCTCCCATACATCACAAACTGCAAAAATCACAACAGGACCATGTGATTACACACACACACGCAATCTTTGAGAGGAGCTCTGTTAATGGCTGACAGCAGTCTTCCATTTTGTTCTGCTCAGAAGAGTATTCTTCTTATACAATGAATAGATGGACGACACACGACTTACGTATTTGCTCTCCTTTATTTTAGTTCTTACATTTGATCCTCCTCTGTTTTCATTGCTGTTATTCTCACCCGGTGTGTGTGTGTGACGGTTTTGGTTGCAAATGCTGTTAAAGAATACAGAAACAGTTTGATCTGAAATTCAAATTATCTGGTCACTTGCATAGCAACAGCGTAGCGTACAGATAATTGCCTTTGTGCGAGGGCTGAATGGTACGCAATAAAAATCATATTGCCATTGTTTGGACAGATATTGCAATAAGTTAAGATTTAACTGGGAATGGTCATTTTTGCATTTCTTTTCTCAGTGAAAAAATTTTAATATAACTGATGATGTAATTTTTGCTGCAGTCTCTCCCATACAAGCATGTTCCCTCATGTCTGGAGCGTATGCCGGGCCAGCTCTGTAGCACCACAATGCTTCGTTTGTAATAATAATGCATTTTTCCTTTATCAAAAAATTGCAGCTCCTGTGATTTGGATATTGCATTGAACCATATTGTGGTTTTGGTAATATTGTGAATAGTTGTTTAGGCCTGTGTGGTGCGACGTCTAACTTTTGGTTCAAGCGGTTTAGTCAAAACATTTACGAAAAGCAGTTTTGTAGCACAGGCTTGTAAATATCATTAAAAATCACTGGTGCACAGTGATACTTTACACATACTTACTGGTCCAAGCATGTACAGTTCTCATCCATACAATACCACATATTGTGTAGAGAGGATGGTTAGTTTCTAATCTTTATGTTCTGACTTCACCAGATGCAACAACAAGAACTGGCCCAGATGAGACAGCGAGATGCCAACCTTACAGCACTAGCCGCCATCGGACCCCGCAAAAAACGTAAAGTGGATTCACCAGGAGCCACACCATCAGGGACCGAGGTAAGATCTGATTATTTACTATTTGTCCATAACCAATATCAGCAACTTTGCTCCTTCAAGCAAAAAAGAGGGAACTTCCCAAGGAGGAACTTTAGCTTTCACAGATTATAATCGATCATTTCTGGTAGTTTAGAGAACAAGCAGTGCAGGATTCATTTGTGACAAAGATATATTGATCGAACTAATCATCGCTTTATCTGACTTGGAGCTCAGCTCTCCTCTCCCTGCCTTTGAGTGCTATAATCCAAAGTTATCCTTTGAAAAAATACTTTCTTTTGTTAAATTTTGTGTGTAGGCAGCCTTCAATGCTAATTTTTATGATCCTGTCATCCCAGACTGTTCAAACTTTGGAGGATTGCTCGATGGTTAAAGTGAGTCACTGCATATCCATCTGCAGAACAGTGAATAAGAGACAGGAATAAATAACTGCGGGTAATGTAGTGGTTTCCAGTAGCAGCTCCTGGTCCAAGTGTTGGAGCACCTTTTAGGTAAACTACTTGGAGAGAAGTTTTTTTTATATTTATATTACTAATGCAGGATATTCTCTTGAATCTAATAACTATACTGTTGTCAAGTCAGATTTTTTACTGAATGTAGGTCAATGTTTGTTTAGCAATAAACTTGACATTTGGTGGTGATGTCAGTTTTTTCGCATTTATACCAGAAGTTTCTTTCCCCTTGGGAGAATTAATCAGTAATCCTCAGTTGAATGTGGCATTGTAGTTAAAGATTAGATACTTGGATGCAGCCAGCAGTTGGTTTGCTGTGAAGTGCAGTTTCTTATTGATAGTTCAGCAGTTAATGGTTGGAACTCTTGGTCACCTCCTCTACTTTTCTGCTTGTTTTATGTATCAGCCTAATAGCTAATGTTATGGATTCTTATATTGCATATCAGTGTTAAACAACACATGTGCTTACACCATTCTTTCTCATTTAGACTTCCTGCCTCAGTGCAGCCAGTCTGGATAATTTAACACACAAACCACTTTCACTGCACTTTAATTCCCAACAGACACTGTGTGTTTTGCATACACTATTAACAACACACTACTTTACATCTCAACTCAAGCTCTGAAGTGATTCATCAAGTGAACATCAAAGAGCAGTACAGTAGCAACGGTTTTCAGGTTTTATTACAGAGAACAGTACTTGATACACAAGCTTGATGGACCTGAAAATCAAATGATTCATGTCAAAACATGTCTGACCCAGAGATATTCATATTAGCTTCATATGGAAAAGAATTAATGGACTAATTTGTTAACTTTGAATTATCTACACAGACACGGCCTGTGTATGCGGATGTCTTGGCCTCAACATTTTTCTTCTGTCACTGTTGATAGACTTATATGTGGCCTCTTTTGTTGGAAGATATGATCCCATGACAGAACGCTCCTGGCACTGTCGTTTTACAAATAGGCTTTTATTACAAGGCTTTTTCAAGTTCATTTACTTTATTTGAGAAAAAGATTTTTTTGGTAAACCCAAAATGTCATGAGGTGACTCATTAGAAAACTTCTAGAGCAATAGAAAAAAGAAAGCTAGCTTAATATTTTAGATGTGAACACAAAATTTAAGTGCTTAATTATTTCAAATTATGTAATATGAAGTCACATACACATGTCAGAAGGCAGAAGAAGACACAAAAATTGAGATTGGAAATAAAATAAGCCACCCCTGAGTGGATAACGCTGACAGTTTGACATATTAGGCTCAAATGTTGAGGTTAACAGAGTTTGATGGGGTAAGAATGGTACTTTCTGCACGGCAGTAAGAAGAGACGCAAATGGTTGTTGGTAGATTGAGTCTGTGTCAAGCTTTTGTTGTTTCTTTTGCATTTTATTAGAAGCTGTAAATCAGGATGTATCGCTACGTGTGTTAGTTTTGTATGAGAGTTCCTCGGTCCAATGCGTGCCGTGCAAACCACTATTGCCAGATGTCTTTATGTCGATATACTTTTACACCTGAAATGAAAGTTTTACAGCATGAACTGGAATGTTACAGCAGTGCGCCAGTTGTCGTCCCTCAGCTGTAGCATGCTAGCAGTGTTAGCCTTGAAAGCTGGGCAGATGCTATGCAGGTTTTATCAAACACTTATGGTGAGTTTGAGATTTAATCGGTCTTCCTGTCCTTCCTTGTTTTTGTCCACTGATAATTCCATTAGAGTTTTTTTTGTACAAGATTTCTCTTTTCTCAGTGAGAGCAAGAAAGATAGTGTTTGGGCATTTTTAAAAAAACATTTTAATGCTTATAAGTGCTTATGTCTTAAAGGACATTTTTTAAAAAGAAGCATTTAATACTTAACCAGCTGAGAGTCTGTTCCTTTTGACATCATGCAGTGTTTAAGTTCCTTAACTGTTACAACAAGAACTACGGTCAGTTAGACACTGTAGGATATTTTCATTTTTTGAAAATGAAGTTATGCTTTTTGTTGTCGTTGTCTTTGTTGTTTTTGTCTGCCGTACTGAAATGTGCTAAAAATTTAGATTCATACCAAACCGTGTATTTTTGTACCTGGTTGTTCCCATAGACTATTAGGATTCTAGTAGGACTCTATTTTTTGAAGAACATTTGAGGTCAACAGGGTGACATGCACAATACAATATGAACCCAAAACCACATATCAAGATATGAATATCAAATCATTAAAACAAGAAGCAGACATGGCTCTCTAGCTGTGGATACAGCAGGCACTGAGATAAACAATGATAAGACAAAGATGGGACAAAGCAGAAGCACTGGCTTCATTTTGTTTCATATTTCCACCCATAGAGCGAAATATTATAATCAAAGTGTGACAACGGCACGTCAAGGATTGGTGAACTGGTAGTAGTTGGTTGCAGGAAAAATGGACCAGTGTAAAGATCTGAGCGACTTTAACAAGGGCCGAGGTGTGATCGTCATATAACTGGGTTGGAAGATCTCGTAGCTTGTGCTGTCCTCCCGGTCAGCAGTAGTGATTACCTACCGGTGATCTGAGGTGGGACAATTTCAAAGTCTGAGGGGCGGCAGCTCCACCGTACACCTTACAGGACCCTTTTCATCTGCTGTTTTGGACTTGGTGGCAAATACCACAAAGGTTCCTTTGGTGGTCTTGTAGGATTTGTGGTGGTCGGAGCTGTTGTGGTGTCACACGAAGCAGAGGCTCATTAGTATATTAGGCAGCATAATGCCGGTGCATCTGTGTATGTGCTCATACTTGCTGAACAACTTGAATTCAGCTCCAGTTTGGCATCCTTACTTCCACCGAACTGAGCTGGTTGTCTATCTGCACAATTGAAGTTGTTTAGTGGAGGCAGCTGTGAAGTGTGCTGATTGATGTAAGACAGTGTGCAGCCCTCTGAAAAAGTTGTTCTCTTTAATTTTACCTAATAAGTGAATTAAGATGATCAAATTCAAATCACTGATTAGAGCCGTAAGCAAGTACCTTGGTGGAGCCACCAAGCAGCAGGTTTGTTTAGTGGACAGGGTTCTCCATTGCTTTAGTTTTGAGAGCTGTTGAATTCCCATCATGCTTAAACTAAAGCTTAAGCGTTGGCCAAGTATATGTTTGGAACATCACACTCTCAATCTAAGTTCACAAACGTGGCATAGATGTAAGGAAATATCTGTGTATGTTGGAGGGAGCGTGGTGACATGCTTCCATGTGACTCGCCTGGTCTGTTTTTAATTAAGCTGAACTGTGTTATTACAAAGAAATGTCTCCTGTTCGAGGTTCCATAAGCAAGACTTCAGTATCATATTTCTGTAGCACAGGGTTATACATGAAGTCATGCACAGTTGCTGTACCAAGTCACATTTTCCTTTAGGCAGCAGGGGAAACATTTAAATTCCTCATATTCATCTGTAAATATGATGAATCTAAAATAAGCCTGAATTTTGAATGTCAATTGGTCATTTTAATAACCTGCTTATCGAGTTGCATCTTCACATCCTTCGCTTAGCAGCAGTATGCTGCAGAGGAGCATAGTAATGCACCCGGTAAAAAAGCATAAATAACAAAATAAAAGCATTACTTCTGGTCCTTGAGTACAGTGCCAACCTCTTTCAGAATGTTTTACCCTGATGGGTATTAGCCCGCGACCTTCTGCTGCATTCAAAAAAAAAGCTGCTCTCTCAAACTGCTTTCCCAAATGCAGTTACACAACATAAACATGAATATACATTATGGTCGAGTTGTTGTCTTTTCTTCTTTTTTTCCCCTCCTTTTTTAATGTTCTGTATATGTTTAATTAGAAGGCATAATGAAGTGAAGTCACAGTGTGCCCCTCCTCTGGAGTGATTGCAGAGGGGGCGGAGGAGGAATCTTAACTTATTTTCACTTCGTTTTCACCTCCTCACATTTCTTCATTTCACATGGGCTGGAAGCGCCAGCGGCGTTCTCTTTCCCTTCTCCAGAGCAAAGTGAATGTGACTTTTCTAAGGGGGTCACAGGATGCCTGGAGGCCTGTGGGTGTTACTGGACTGTTGCCTGCTCTTAGCTTCACTGAGGGGCTTGTCATAGATTTCATCTCCACAGAAATGAGCCGGGGGGCCCTGGCCAGGAGCACAAGCAGCCAACGTTATGAAGGGCCCACGCTGATTATTTCCCTCTGACATCGCATCCTGAGCTTTCCGCATTAATCCCAGACAAAGGCAGCCCTTCAGTGCTGTGCCAGAGCTCAAATTAGGAGCCAGATAATGGCCTTGTTGAGATCCTGTTCAGTTCACTGAGAGGCAGAGCTCCTGTTGAAATCCTCCTCTTCAATATTCCTTCCCTCCTGCTTGTTCTTTCCCTCGTCAGACCACCTTTCCACCTTGTTCGGACTGTGACGGAATTCAGGTGACACAATTTCTCTCCATATCCTCCCCCCCAACCCAACCGCCCATTCACCCACCTTTAATTTGATGGTGGCTTGGCCGGACTTGGGCCGGTGCCTGGATGTGGATCGCCACAGGCTGTGAAACTGATAGCCAGTCAAGACTGGAGTGTCTGTCTCCAGCCTGATCTAGTCTGCAGG